CGATCTACGGGTGTTTTAGCTACGGAACCATTGCTGATTTCGATTTCATATCACAAAAGAGACGTTTATACATAATATAGGAATTGATCCTTTAATCATTTACTCGCCTCGTTTTTAATATAACAAGTTTATGATCGTCGCGATAGCTTATTGATTTTGCCGTTACTTCGCGTCTATTCTATTTTTAAAATAAAGGAACGCAGAAAAATTTACTTTACGTTTTTATGCAAGCAAAGTACGCAACAGCTGTGAAACGCAAGCAATGCCTAGAAATCTATGGTTACGTGCCGCGTATAACGATAACACCGCCGTATTAATATTATTTCAATGAACTTGGAGGGATATTGACGTTCCTCGCACCTCCATTTCCATCAGACCGTCCGGGAGTCCGATTTCCGTCGATATTTCTAGCAACCAGACTGGTGTTGATTTTCATATGAACAAGATTTAAATAATAGTGTTAAAACGTGATGATAGGATGCCCGATGAAACAGAAAAAGCTCCCTCGGATGTGAAACCGTTTCCTGCCATGTCACGGGATAGGCCGGTCATTCGTACATCCGACGTGTCAATCAATTTTTTTCAGTTGGCCGAAAAACCACGCGATATCTTCGTTGATATTGTTTCCATAACCCTATGAATCGATTGATCGAATTCTATTCGAAAATCTTTAGTTCCTCTCCAGCTGTGGCAAATATTCTTCGTTTTCCGGTAGAGGAAATGCGTTTCGTTGTTACTCGCATAAAAGCAAAGTAAATTGCATAGAAGTTATGACGTCTCCAAATAATTCGTTTGTTATTTATGGCATTATCGATTGGCACTGCAACAATAATCGTACAGCTGTGCGGGCTCTATGAATACTTGATGATTAAGAAACATGCGACGGAGCATTACTACAGTATGAATGCAGTGAAAGTTTCATAATACATTTCTCCTCAGTTGCAAGTACCAATATATTTACTATTCTTCGATGAAGTAGAATAAGTATACATTGAAATTCTTCAAACAAAAGTATTGCATGTACTCCAACTATATTTTATTTTGTTTCGTATCCAGTTTACTGCATATCGTTTTAGAAATTATCACTGCGTGATTCAATTCAATATCCTGTTTTATCTTGTTCACGGGTTAATAAACCCCGATAAACTACCCTCCCCGATTCCAGCAGCGGAATAATTATTGGGTAGCCTCGTTCGAGTCGCCACCCTTCATTCCTCGTCGCGCCGAAGAACGAGCGAATCGCGGTGGGTGAAATTTTTGTTCGTTCAACTCTGGGTATACAGATCTCTCTAATTAACGTCTAGACGCATCGTCGCTCGACGCAAATTACGCGGGGCTTGATTCCTCCGTGAGGATCGATAAGAACGATCGCGATAAGAAACAGCCTCGTAAAATTGAACGGATCTCACAACGTCGTGTCGCCTGAAAGCTTGATAAACGACGATGTTATCGATATATCGACGTAATAGCGCCGCTAAAGAGCCACTAGACGGAAGAGAGACTGATTGTGAGATTGACGCAACTGGTGTCTTTGTATTCACGGCATTCGAGCCAGTCTCGAAGTCTCGAGCGATCCGGACCGTGCGCCTACTACCCCTCACGCTGTGCGCTTGCTCTATCGTCACCCTTGTATGCTCACACTTCAAGTCCTCTGTCAAATGCCAGTGGCCACGGGCTGCAGGTATTCTCTTCAGTGACACACCGCTCTTAATATATGTATAATACGCTTATCTCAGATGTGTACTGTACAATTTCATAATCATACTTAGATTGAAAAGATAAATTATAAATTCAATCATTTTTAAAACTAGATCTACCAAGGGGGATAAAATGACTTGTTTGGCATTTATTATAATTATTATTCATTTTCAGTACATTCTGTTTTCTACAATTTTCGTAAAAATTACTATATCTTTTCTTATGATGTTAATTTGAAAAACAAGTCATTTCCACCCCTCCGGTACAAGTATACGTGAACCGGCGGTAATTCTAATGTCAGTGAAAGCTGGGATTATCAGTTAAAAATGTATGCACCATTGTGTAGGATGTTGGGATGGGTTACGCAACGTAGGAAATCCTGAAAGGGGTGGCTGTGTTACGCAGTGGCATCGATAATCACGTTTCGATGAGAAATATTTCCGAGCAACGCGTTAAGCAGCATTTTAATACGACGGGAGATCTGATCCCTTAAATAAAATTCAAAGATGTACGCGAGGGAGAAGGTACCGGATGTCACGCGTGCATTGCGTGCATCGCAAGGGGGATCGTACCGCGCCTCCTTGAATAATAAACCCTCGTATTTATCCTGGATGAGAATCGAAGGATAATGCGACTATTACTATCTAAGCATTTATGCAATGGAACATTGATAAAATCTGACTTAGATAGAAATGAAATTTATCTGATTACTCTGGTGTGCAAACGTGGATGTGCATGAAAGCTGCGGTGTGAATACAAATCGTTCTCACTTTCGTTCGGAGAGCATCGAGAAATATTCATAAGTGGTTATCTCATCGTATTGAGAAAGTTGAATCAGATTATAATTCCTTCTGTCACGAACGAAAAGAAAAACGCATCTCGCAGAGAGTTGAATTTCAAGTACAGGAAAGTACTAACGAGCGAGAGCGTTTCCTTTCACCGAACTATCGTTGCAAGTGCAAACTATCATTAGCCGTATCACTCAGGACCCTTTTCAGTAGATCCCATAAAAAGGAACGTTTCATTAGGACGGAATTATCGAGTGGAAACGAGGCTCGGTCATTAGCGTCGCGAGGTGTACCTGTTCGCCGTTTATGAGCCGAGTTATGGTCGGACACACGTTGCTCCCGTCGCATAAGAGAGAAGACCGCCGTCGGGGGAGGAAATGAAAGTTACTTATTATCGGGTGGACGGGTTCGAAAGGTGGATGGAATCGCGGCAGAGATGAACGCGCGGCCGGATATCGGATGGAAACACCTCCATGGGAAATGTACGCTCTCGCCTCTGGCCACTCCGTTTTCCCATACGATACTGATGCGCTCCTACGATCTAATCCACCGCCTCTTAGAAATCGATCTTGCGAGTCGCGCCGTTTCTCTCTACCCGTTCGCATCATTAGCATAGAACATTTTTATTAGTTACGCAGGATAAATCGTCCCTAATTATGATATATGAATTATTGTGGCAATCATCATATGAGGCATCGTATCTTACGTGAAACATCGTATCAATTATTCTTTCAAACATTGCGAGAATTGTTATATGAAATATTGGGTCAGTGCAAAAGTTCGTGCCTGATTCTTAGAGGCAGGACTTTGGAAAGTTAGTACTCGAATCTAATTCGGTTAACCCATTACTTCCACGCTGCGCGAAATTGATACGGACTCTCGTGACGACAGGAATAAAAATGATTTTGATCTGGACGATCAACTTCGATTTGGTTTTCCAGTTTCTACGAAAAACTACCTATTTGTAAAAGGAAGGATAAAAAACGAGCATGATTGCATGAAGAAATTTTCCATAAAATGTGAATGATGATGTGAATGAAATCTTGTTTGAAACGAGCCGCGACCTCTTGCACTGACCCAATATTAATTTTGATTCTAACACGTACGTCGTCCGATGCGAAGGGAAAGTATTTTAGAAAAGGGAAAGGGGTACGGTTTGAATTAATAGCCGCGTCGTTCGGCATCGCTGACCCGGTCATTGATAGAGTATTAAGCACGAGGCGAGATCGTGAGCGTAATTATCATTAATTACGGAGGGTTGCTTCCGCGGATGGCAATTTGTTATCACCGGTGGACCGACGTTTTATTGATCGGCCCGTGGCTGCCGGCCAGCCGTCTAATAGAATCGAAAATCGAGAGTCGTCTACGAGCATCGCGAAAAGACACGCGTGGAATAATACATGGGACTGCTCGCAACGCCGGGCACGCGGTGAATTATTGAGAAAACGCGGTATTCGATCACCGCGGGGCGTGATCTATGCAGTGATCCGTGGAATGGAACCCGAAGGACTTTGAACCTTCGGAGTCAAGAGCGTCGTACTCTTTATCAAACGTATCTCGTTTCTTTCCTACGAAAGGAGTTAATTATGATTGTTTTTCGCCTGTCCGAACACCGAGTTCGTGACCGATCGTCTCACCGTTTCGAGTCACGTTCCCGGGACGTTGCAAAATTTCATGCAAAACGAATTCGTCTCGTTTTTCATTGAATTTTCCTCTACGTTCTTC